TCCATATTTGAGCGAGCGAGTTTCCTTTTGGGAACAAACACGTCACAATATTCCTGATTTAAATAATTCCCGCCAAAGACATACACTAAACAAAGGGGCCTAATTGAGTTATTTAGCAGTGTGTTAAACTCGTGGTTATGGTTAGGGACGTGGCCTTTCCCAAAAACCCTATTCTATTAGAGTCTAGTAGAAAATAAAATCAAGACTTTGTAAAATAGCTTAATAGGTCCTCTTTAATCCTTGAAGCTTTGCCTCTTAATGTTCTCATTTACTTTTAATCAACCCCACACAGGGTCCAAAATTAAAGCTGAACCTCCTTCATTAAAACAAGTTGTATTCATAAAAGAATGACTATTTTATTACAAAAATCATCCACACTCACATTTCTCTGATGCTATTTGCGAGTGCCAAATTTGAAAAAATTGGCTTTAGCATCTTGCAAGTCAAAATATAAGAGATTAAAATGAGAGAAAACAGCCAACAACTTTTTCTTCAGAAGTAGGAGAATATTCCTCACATCAAGCCACCGAAACTAACACATTAGTAACAAGTTTTCTGTGAAAAGAGTAGTTGCACAGAAAGACAACAAGCATACTCTAAAAAAAGGTTTGATTGTGTTCTATATAGAACTCTAGGCCGGGTTCTTGACTCAAGTTTAAAGAACCCTTTAAGCCAAAAAGGTTCTGTCTGGAAAAATGTTCAAAAGATTGCATTATACTTTCATGTTTAACAGGTAATTTAAATTCGTTAAATTTAATTCAAATAAAAAATGAATGAAAACATAATTTATCCAATGATGAAACCCTTAGAAGGTTTTATGAAGTGTCTTAAGGGTTCTAAATAGAACCTTTTCTTCTAAGACTGAAAGAACACCACAGACACAGTGTGAGAAAATCTCAGAGTAAAAAAGTTTTGAAAAATATAATAAACCGGCGTTTTACCGGATAAGTTTATCTATGTATCATCTTTATACTATTTAAATTTCTTTTCTAACTTTTTAATTTACCTTAATTGCTTTTATTTTGTGATTATTTTAATTCCTTTCTGTAAAGCACTTTGAATTGCCATAGTGTATGAAGTAAAAGCCATAAATACATAAACTTGCCTTGCCTAGGACTGATAAGTGACTAAATATAAACTATCAAATATTTAAAAAAAGAGAATATACTAAAGTGAACTCTTTTAGTTAATGCATTTACCAACATTAAATAATGGGACCTTATTGTAAAGACATTTTTATTTTAGGTGTTTTTAAACAAAAATCTGTCATTTTGTGACCTAAACTCACAGATGATGAAACTTTCATTAAGTGCAGGAGAAATTTCATTTAGTGCAAGACCGACCTGCTAACATTTAGAGGACGCAAGATTTGATTGGCCATGGGTACGGCACGTCTCAAAGAGAAGCTAGCCATAAACCGCCTCTCAATCAATACACACACACAGTAAAGTGATTGAATTCAAGACTCAAAGATCTCCACTGCAGACCGCTGTTTATTGCCCTGCACCCCGAGCATCTGAGACTGCATGGATAAGGATCTATAAATAACTGAATGTGCCATGATATAGAGAGAGGAAGAGATAAGGCAGAAAAGAAAAGGTGACCTGCGAGGGGAAGAACAGAGGAAAGACGCGACTTCCTGAAACACAGCAGCGCAGAAAACCTGACAACTGTGTGAAAGGTCTCGGCCGGAGCAATAGAGTCGCAAACAAACGCTACGGACGGATGCATTGCTTTCCTATTATTTTCATGGCAAAAACAACCCAAGTCGAAATCTGTGCTTAAAAGCATTTCTTCCAATATAGACACAAAAAAGGAGGGCCGATTATGAACTTTTGAAGATGTAGGGCTCAAGAGTACCGCCCACTTTTTCAGCAGCTTTGTTTCTGAAAGTATTTTTCCTTTCCCATTGTTCTTCAAAGGCCTTTCAGAAAACGAGCCGGTTCTACAGCTCTACGGCATGACCCAACAAACATCTGAGATACATCACCATGTTATAACATTTGATTCAAATCTATTAGTGTTGGGGGGGAAAACAACTAAGTCAATAAACTTGGTACTTGAAATTTTGAAGTAACTAAGTATTTTACTAATATTTATTAAGTAATATTTTACAATGTAATAAATTAATAAATGTTTACTTTTTACAATTTACTTTAGGGTTCAATTCATCTCACTAACTAGGTGCTTATTAGCATGCATATTACTAGGATATTGGCTGTTTATTAGTACTTATAAAGGAAATATTAATGCCTTATTTTGCATGATCATATTCTATATCCCTTTATCTATCCAACAACAACCTTATAAACAATTAATAAGCAGTAATTAGAAGTTTATATCCAAGTCACAGTTAATAGTTACTTAATAGTGAGAACTGGACTAATCTAATCTAGTGTGATCAAGGTAGGCTAATTTCTATATATGTATTGAAAAAATATGTATATTGTTTTTAAATAAAATACAATTTTAAAATATATAAAAATAATAAAATGATTGGCTATAACTTTGAAAAATATTAATTGAATTTATAAAAAAAAAATTAATATGTATTAATGATATAATACATGCCTGAAGAACAAAATATATGACCATATTTAAAAAAAAAATGGTCCAAAAATATTTTTTTATGTTCAGGTCCAAAAGTTGGACCACTTTAGAGATTTTTTTTAAATTTAAATTGAAAAATTTTTAGTTTTCTAAAAATTCCACACACACATTTGACTAGTGACCTAGAAATAGTGTAGAAATTGGAAATTTTTCAGAAATTTAAAAACGTTTTTTCTTTTTTAAATACTGAAAAGAGACTTTCTGAGGCTCAAGATGCTCTCTGGAAAATTTAAAGTCACGCTTTAGTGCCGCTGTCATTAAAGCGCAAGAGACACAAACCAAATACAACTACAATCTGAAATCCATCTTCGTTTCTCTAATCCAACTTTTTACGATATGGAAAAAAAATGTAATTTTCACAAGCAGTCTGAGACGTTTGGACCCCGAGCACTGTACGCCTCACTGCATTATACAAGAGAGCGCAGTGCTTTTGTACTTCTGCTGCTCCGCACCAAAGAGAAACTCTATTCTGAGCATCAAGGGAGACAGACAGAGCGACAGCGAGCAAACAACCAGCCAGAGACAGACAAACAGAACAAACAACATGAAGCAAAGGCCAGCCTCTACTCCGTAACATATCCCATACGCATATGTATGATGGAATTCCACATTGCGGTTTGGAGGAGATCGCAAACACAACATTATTAATTATGATGACTAAGCAGATGTCAAAAAACACACAGATTCTGCTCCAAAACACAGCAAGCAACGGCCAAGAGACTTATGAGGGCGCTTTTCATAGGCAGCAACTCAGCAAACAGCCCTCAAAACAAGGTATCTTTTGAGGTAGCCGTTTGGTAGAGCTTTAAAATGAGTTTTGGAGCAAATCCAGTGCGTCCGTGAAACAGAATAACTGCACTGGAGCAGCTGTTTGAACAGTAAATCGCTTAGTGAACGACAACAAGGCAACGAAAGTGTTGCTTTAAAGTCCTGACGGCATGTTGCAGATGCTTCTGGATATGAATGTGTCCTGCCCCCACCATCTGTACTAATTTAGTACCAATTTGTCATTTAATTGGAGCTTGAATATGATTTACAGTAGATTTACAGGAACAACCCCGCTGGGAGGAGATCATCGTTCATGTTTTATTCAAACCTTGTGGGCTTTGAACCTACATCCGTTTAGGTTGCATGACCATCTATAACTATTCCAGCACACAACGTCTCTTTCTCCACAACACAGTTTTCATATTTACCCCCTTTAACAGCCCTTACCTTTCATCAAAATGATCCAAATGTGGAAAATATAGGAATGGATGCTATAGTTGAAATATTTTATATTAATATAATCACGTACAACCTTGAGGCGGATGGGCTACAACAGCAGAAGACCCCACCGGGTACCACTCATCTCAACTACAAATAGGAAAAAGAGGCGACAATTTGCAAGAGCGCACCAAAATTGGACAGTTGAAGACTGGAAAAATGTTCTGATGAGTCTCGATTTCTGATGGTAGAGTCAGAATGAGAACATGGACCCATCATGCCTTGTTCCCACTGTGCAGGCTGGTGGTGGTGGTGTAATGGTGTAGGAGATGTTTTCTTAGCACACTTTAGTGCCAATCGGGCATCGTTTAAATGCCACGGCCTACCTGAGCATTGTTTCTGACCATGTCCATCCCTTTATGGCCACCATGTCCCCATCCTCTGATGGCTACTTCCAGCAGGATAATACACCATGTCACAAAGCTCGAATCATTTCAAATTAGTTTCTTGAACATGTCAAAGAGTTGACTGTACTAAAATGGCCGCCACAGTCACCAGATCTCAACCCAATAGAGCATCTTTGGGATGTGGTGGAACGGGAGCTTCGTGTCCCACAAATCTCCATCAACTGCAAGATGCTATCCTATCAATATGGGCCAACATTTCTAAAGAATGCTTTCAGCACCTTGTTGAATCAACGCCACGTAGAATTAAGGCAGTTTTGAAGGCGAAAGGGGGTCAAACACAGTATTAGTATGGTGTTCCTCATAATCCTTTAGGTGAGTGTATTTACGCTGTAAAATAAGCAGATGTGCAACGGTTCTCTGCACCCGGAAAACAACCCAACTCTCTACGTCTTAACCGTTTTGGGAAACATCCTACTCTGTATTTAGCATAAACAAATCCACCACCCACCCAGTCCTACCATACAATGAAAACTCAAGCTGTGCATTCATTGGACAGTCAGACAGAGATGTGTGGCAACTAAATATGTGGCAAATACAGGAGCAGATGGCCTGTTTTCTGCTGAAGTCTCAGCACTGTTTGATCAGCTGTGACATCATCTACCTCCAGAGAGTGCGTCGCATGAGCACGAAACACGCCAAATGAGGTTTCACCATAAAACGACAGCACAGCCTGAATGAAGTCAGCGCTGCAGAGGATGATAAAGCAATGCGACTCACCTCAGGCTGAGAGAAAGCTGCTGGCCTCTGGACTGGAGGAGATCGGCCACCGAGAAGCTGCTACTTCCCAAGATGTGGCTCTAAAAGAGGAAACACAGCAGCACACAGGTCATGAAATGTCATCCAACTGTACCGATGATCTGTTGAACACGAGCGGCTGTAAACACATCTGGAGAGTTTCCCACTGTACATACACTGTTCATTAATGTTTCAAGATGTCACTATGCCTTAACTGATCTACAACAAACAGTGTTAAGAAATTTGTGTCAGAAATTTTTCGCATTAAAAAAAAAAAATACGAACGAACATTGTCAATCACGCTTGCACACTGCCTCCGAAACTTTCGTCCATCATAAAAAATGATTGGTAACACTTTATTTCGATAGTCCACTTTAGACATACTAATAACTATAAGTAACTTTTCAACTACATGTCAACTAACTGTCATTAGAGTATTAGTAGACTGTCTGTTTAATATCTGCACTTTATTTTGTTGGTCCCCCAACAGACATTCAACTGACTTTAAGTAACTTGGCGACTTCAAGTAAACTTATTCTCCTAACCTAAATCCTAACACCTAACCATAACCTAACAGTCTACTGGCATAATACTCTAATGAGAGTTAGTTGACATGTAGTTGAAAAGTTACTTATAATTAGTAGAACGTCTAAAGTGACTATCGAAATAAAGTGTAACCAATTTATTTTCTGCAGTTTCTCGCATCCGTAGCCACCGAATTCAATTCAGAGCCACCGAATCACCACTGCGAAAAAACCCACACGTAAATTTCGGAAATTTGCGCACGTATAAAAAATAAATAAATACGAACGCACCGTACTTCCTCCGAAACTTTCGGCCATCGTAAAAAATTATTTTCTGCAGTTTTTTGCATCCGTAGAACGCAGTTTGTATGGTGTTTTGGCAATTCAGAGCCACTGAAACACCAATACGAAAAAATTCATGTGAAAATTTCGGAAATTTTCGCACATAAAAAAAAAATTAAATAAATACGAACGCATGTTATGTCAATCACACTTGCACACTTCCTCCGAAACTTTCGGCCATCATAAAAAAATATTTTCTGCAGTTTTTTGCATCAGTAGAAAGCAGTTTGTATGGTGTTTTGGCAGAGCCACCGAATCACCAATACGAAAAAACCCATACGAAAATTTCGGAAATTTTCGCACCTAAAAAAATACAAAAAAATACAAATGCATGTTATGTCAATCACACTTGCACACTGTCTCCGAAACTTTCATCCATCATAAAAAAATATTTTCTGCAGTTTCTCACATCCGTAGAACGCAGTTTGTATGGTGTTTTGGCAATTCAGAGCCACCGAATCACCAATATGAAAAAACCCATACGAAAATTTCGAAAATTTTCGCACATAAAAAAAAATACAAATACATGTTATGTCAATCACGCTTGCACACTGCCTCCGAAACTTTCGTTCATCATAACAAATTATTTTCTTCAGTTTTTCGCATCCGTAGCAAGCAGTTTGTATGGTGTTTTGGCAAATCAGAGCCACCGAATCACGAATACGAAAAAACCCATCCGAACATTTCTGCAAGGGCCTGTACAGTTGATTTTTCACTTCAAAATCAATTCCTGAATTTGAGGTAGCAATAAGGATGTAGAACTGTAATTTGACTTTTAAATGTAATGTAGCAGAATTAAAACGAATTCAAATGAATGGATGGATGGATGGATGGATGGACTGGAGGAGTGTTTCTCTCAGGAGAATACAGCAGCTTAAGCACAACCACTCTGTCAAACAACATCATGACAAAACAGAGTAATAAATGTGGACTGGAAGCATTCAGCATTCATCACTATGGGTTTGCTTTTTCCGCTGAGAGAGATGTTCATACCAAGGACATGCAGCCCTCTACGTTGCTTTAATTGGTAATTACAACACACACACACACACACACACACACGCAGGAATCCCTCGACATTTCTCAACAATTAATTACCGTGCCACTGTCTTCACTGGAAAGGCTCACACAGGCCCGAACAGACCCTGTTAAGTTGACAAGACAAACCAAATTAGAACCTAATTAAATATTAATAACGTCTCAGTTACGTATGTAGGAGGGAACGGCGACGTGACAGATGTAGTCAATGTAGCTATAGTATGCTTTTTATATATTTTTTAAGTTGGAGCTGGAATCGTGACTCTGTGTAACGGCCATCCAACGTGTGACTTGCATAAACACATTTTGTTACGCTTGGAAATGAAGAGTTCAGATGCAAAAGCCTCTAAATGCCATTTGAAATGTTCTTCTAAAATGACCATTTTTATCAAGCTTGTATATTTAATTTCAGTAATTTCACTTAAATGACAATTAATAGGTAATCTTTATTGCCATTTAAGTGAAATTACTGAACTTCAATATACAAGCTTGATAAAAATGATCATTTTAGAAGAAAATTTCAAATGGCACTTAGAGGCTTTTGCATCTGAACTCTTCAAATGTTGCCTTGTGAAAAGCGAACCAAACGCAACATTCAAAACATTTTAAGGGTGCGTTCACACTCGTAGTTCGGTTCGCTCGGCTGGTTTGGTCCAGACCAAAAAAGAAAATTAGCGTTCACATTGGCATTTTAACACCGAACCTAAAGATCCCATACCTAAAGTCATAGGTATTCGTCCACAACCTGATTAGTCGGCTTTTATCACGTATACAGTGATGTGAATAAGTTTGGACATCCATGCTAAAGTTGCCTAAAAAGAGGAATAAAAAAATCATCTTTTGGATATTGATCTTAATGCCTTAATTAGAAAAATGAGGAAAACTCCAACCTTTAAGGACACAAATTTTCTTTGTGAATAAATAATGTATCATAAATAAATAAATGTTTTTTCCTTAAAATACAGGGTACATAAGTCAGGACACCCCTATGTTAAATTCCCATAGAGTCAGTTAAAAGCCAGTTATTTCATGGATCCAGGATAATATTTATCCTGATAAAGTTCCCTTGACCTTTGGAATTAAAATATCCCCACATCATCACACACCATTCACCACACCTAGAGATTGGCATGGTTTTACTTCAGTTAGCCTAATAGCTGGTTTGATTTGCATTGAAAGATGATCTTATGGAAAGTACCCCATGCCAATCTCTAGGCGTGGTGAATGGTGTGTGATGATGTGGGGATATTTTAATTCCAAAGGCCAAGGGAACTTTATCAGAATGCATTTACTCCAAACAGCACACATATGGTGTTCACCAAGACATAAGTGTTGTCACAGATCATGACGGGATCTCACGTTTGTGCATGACATGATGAAATACGCGGGAATACAGTGAACAGATTCCCTCTGACATCGATGAGGAATGATTTGGAACAAGAGTGTTTAGAATTGGTTTAGCGTCATCATCGCTTTAATTGGGCTACATAAGAAGGTCGCCAGCCACTCCATGTGAGGTTAAAACAGACCAGATGATTTATTGATGTTTTACATGTGCTGAAAAGGTTACAGGCCAAGTCACAGCATCGACAAAGGCTTGAGTGAAAGAGCTGGATGCGAGTCGAGATAATGGCTAAACACTCTACACGTCCCCTGAACAACATTCAGTGTACAAATACTCTTCTGGCTGGTCTTGATCTACGTCTCTTTTGAAACCTGACAAAATGGCAGTGCTGGAGGAACAATCTCAGGCATCATTACTCCACAAAACATGCTGAACATTATGCTAAGTGTGAGAGAGATCGGGAAAAACTCGAGACTCAGAGTACAGCCCTTAAATATGTATCTAAACAGTATTATATATAGCCTATGTATGTTTTTTTAATCTTATTGTCGTACTGTAGTCAGATGATCTAAATGTGACTATTTGAACAACCAGTGTGTGTGTTTACAAACATGAATTTTGCCTATGCACTTATTGTCGTAGTCATATGTCGATAACTAGCCTCAGCGGATGAATCTCTTGGCAGCAAACACAGAACGTTCCCCTAACGTTCCCAAATGGTCCCATGAGGTTATTTTTTTGGGAACCAAACAAGAACATTATAGGAATGTTTCATGTAGGTTATTTTTAGGTTCCATTTTTATAACGTAAGGAGAATGTTCCGGGAACATTCCCTTAACCTTAAGGGAAAGTTCTAGGAACGTTCTGGGAACCAAAAAGTAACATTCCCAGAACGTTCCCAGAACCTAAATTTGTTTGCTGGGGTGCCACGATTAATCGCATCCAAAATAAAAGTTTGTGTTTACATAATATGTGTTCTCTAACCATAATCAATTCTGTTCAGGATTGCGATATTTTGCGTGCACAATTATATCGATACAGTAGCGCAAAGTATTGCAATATTTAATTTAAGGCTGTCAAATGATTAATCGCGATTAATCGCATCCAAAACAAAAGTTTGTGTTTACATAATATATGTGGGTGCACTGTGTATAATTATTTTATTTATGTATATATTTAAGAAATATTTTCATGTATATTCTGTATATAGATTTATATATAATTTATGTATATAAATATTTTATATATAAATAATATTTTTTCTTAAATATACAAGCATGTGTGTGTGTGTATTTATATATATACACAAAATAATTACACACAGTGCAACCACATATATTATGTAAACACAAACTTTTATTTTGGATGCGATTAATCGCGATTAATCGTTTGACAGCCCGAATTTAATTATAAAATTATCTTGTTTTACTTCACGGGTTTTCTCCATTGGTTTGAGTTTACTCTGATAATTTACTTTTTTTTTCTTTGTTGTTGTGCATTCAACAGCAAATTCAAATCAAAATGGCTTCTCCATCACAACCGGTTGTCCTACAAATCGAAAGTGTGGGTAAATTTCGGTTTTCATCAAAAAGCGAATAGTAAAGACCTCAACATTATTTATATGATTATTCTCAGGTTTATGTTACTCTATTGTTTTTAATTATTTTAAGTTATGCCCTGGGACCATTCATGTGAGAGGTCTCCAGTTCAGAGAATAACGCCGTCCTGAACTTTAATAAGGTCCTGTGTCCTGCATGTTCAAGGACAACGTTTTTGCCCTTCGGTTAATGTGCAGAAGATAATGTTCACAGAATTAAAATGTGGCATTTGAAGTGATTTGAAGTCATTTTTTGTAAGGCCTTTGAATAATATTGGGGGCATGAATTGCAATACATCGCAGAATCGAATCGCAATACTTGCCGTATCGCAATATGTAAAAGAATCGCAATAATATTGAATCGTGACCCAAATATCGCAATACTCTTGAATCGTCATATTTATGTCAATTCCCACCCTTAATAGTAAGTAGTTCATTAATATGACCCAGACAGCAACATTGTGTCAGATCTGGGCTGAAACTCTGTTGCTAAGTGGGTAGTATTTCAGTAAGTACAAAGTAACTACATCACCACAAAATAAAGTGTAACCAAAGTTCCTCTTTATGCAGTAAATGTGTCCTCCGACTCAATGCAAAAGGCCTTAAAAAAATAGGCCTTAAATACATATTAGTGATAATCATTCTAAATACAGATGCATTAATGATGTGACCACATGCAAATACATACACTCTAAAAAATGCTGGGTTGTTTTAACCCAACTTCGGGTCAAACATGGACAACCCCAAACGTTGGGTTAAAAATGTAATTAAAAAATGTAACCCAATGGCTGGGTTTGTCCATATTTGACCCAAAGTTAAAACTGGGTTAAAACAACCCAGCAATTTTTTAGAGTGTAGCAAATTATTATTAAAGTATTAATTTATTGCTAATAAATGTAAGAAATAATAACCTCAGCAATTCGTTATGGCATTTTGCATAACCTCTCATTTTATAAGATCTCTTGTGTGAGAACAGAAATAATTGCACTTCATGGGCTTTCATTTTACTCCTTTGCTAACAGTATTTTTGACGGCATGTTCATGGTTTTCTGCCTTATGTGCATTTATTACTTGAACAAAACCATGAAGTATGTGATCAGGGATTCTCAACAATCAAACCTCAGGGCTTTAGCAAGCATTCGTGTCAGCGATATGGCCATATCTGTGATACATCGAGACAGACAGGTGTTTAGGGAAGTGCTTCGGTGGTTTTTGGTTTCTATTTATTTTTTCTAGAGCAAATACTAAAACCCAAACTGACCTTTTACCCCAGATGGCCTTTAGCCCTGTTGTAAATACTTCACCTTGCTAACATGCTCGTATGCAGACACGCTCACAACAGTGTGAAATCCTGATAAGAAAGCACCTGCAGCGTAATGGTTTTTGTCATGCTGCATTGTTTTCTTTCTTCCTTCCTTCTTTCTTTCCGTGCCGAAGCTCTCGAGGCGACTCATGAAGGACCAGACATCACCACACAAATAGACTCAGTCTCAGGATGAGTCACACGCGAGTGCGTTTTTATCTCGTGTACTTTTCCAACTGTTGGTGGAGGAATTGTCTGCTTTGCACTGACCCTTTCTTCCTCAGCGCTTTTACTCTAATAGATCGACTTCTCGGGTGCGTAGCAAGATAACCACCACCACCACCACACACACACAAACACACACAGAAACAGTGGAGATGCATTCCCTCAGCAGTTTATAGAGAATCTGCTCGTCATTCAAGCTCACGAACACAACTTGATGAGTATTTCCTCAAGGAAAGAGCAACAAGATCAAGGCAGCAAAAGATGTTACGGTTTAAAGTGAGTGTTTGTGTGTGTTAGTCTTTGATTCGGTGAATGAAATGCTGCATCAGAGGCGCTTTGCCACGTCACGTCACGCAGCACACACACATCTTCACACGAGAAGCAACACATGCAACGATGGACGGTCATATATATGCGAGGAAGACCGATCAGTGTGCACACTCTAAAAACGCTGGGTTGTTTTAACCCAACTTTGGGTCAAATATGGACAAACCCAAACGTTGGGTTAAAAATGTAATTACAAAATTTAACCCAATGGCTGGGTTTGTCCATATTTGACCCAAAGTTGGGTTAAAACAACCCAGCAATTTTTAGAGTGCATGTAGATATCGCGGTCGGACACATTTGGAACATTTTATCAATTTTATTTTATTTTATTCATTTTTATTGACCGATATATCATTTCGAACACATAACCGACCGATATTGAGCCAGAATGTCAGTTCTAGTGATACTTAACCATGTTAATTTACCTTATAATTAACAATTGTCAAAAGACAAACTACTTCGGTTTGTCATGTTTAACAGCTATATATACATATTCTTGTTTAATTTGAATAAATACTTAACAGAAGTAAACACTAAAAGGTACAAAAGCTGTCACTGGGGCTGTACCTTTTGAAAAAGTAAACTTTTGTCCATTTTAGGTGTTAATATGTACATTTTAGGTGCTAATAAGTTAATTTTGGGTGCTAATATGTACATTTTAGGTGCTATGTACATTTTAGGTGATAATATGTACATTTTAGGTGTTAAGTTAATTTTAGGTGATAATATGTACATTTTAGGTGCTACTAAGTTAATTTTGGGTGCTAATATGTACATTTTAGGTGCTAATATGTACATTTTAGGTGTTAATATTTACATTTTTGGTGTTAATATGTACATTTTAGGTGCTAATATGTACATTTTAGGTGTTAATATTTACATTTTTGGTGTTAATATATACATTTTAGGTGCTAATATGTACATTTTAGGAGCTAATATGTACATTTAAGGTGTTAATATGTACATTTTAGGTGTTAATATGTACATTTTAGCTGCTAATATGTCCATTTTAGATCCGAATATGTACATGTTAGGTACTGATATGTACATTTTAGGTACTAATATGTACCACTAAGGTACCAATATGCAGCCTTTGGGTACAAACGTGTAAATTTTGAAAAGGTACAGCCCCAATGACAGCTATACCTTTTTTCTGAGAGTGTGTGTTAAAAAAAATATTGGCACCAAAAAATCCACATCGGTCAAAGCAAATCGGGTTGACCGCTCAGGCTTAGCAAAGCCAACACTGAAATTACTGTCAAAATGCATTTTAAATGGAGAACATCAAACAGAATTAAATCCAGCCGTTTAATACCAAGTGTTGAACAAACCCTCGCCAGAAGAGTGTCTGAGGAAAATCAACATTGTGCTGCTTTGCAAGAACAAACAGATCAGCAAGTGAGCGCAGAGAAAGTGAAATGAGACGTTTCCTGACACACACAATGAGTTATGATCACTGGCTGCTGTCACTTTCTCTCGAACAAACTTCATCGTGCCCTCGTCACCGGAGGAAGTGTGCATGCAACACAAACACACGCTCACCTTGCTCTCTAAATGAAGACGTACCGCAGTCTTCTGCTGTTTATATAAAACTAATTACGACTCCACACTAACCCAACCCCCTCAAAGAAACTTTCAGCCGTTAATAACTTATAGATTTGCCACATTTAGCTCACGTCTAAGGACAATTTAGTCCCTGAACACACATGTGGCTCATCAAAGACGAGACGTCTCACACTCCAAATCCCCAAACGCGAGCCAAAGCATTCATTTCCCACACGCCAATGTCAGTCCATCCCACCTGTGTGTTGGGGTCATCCAACGTCTCATGCATGTTCACTCCCGCACAAACACACTGCACCCTGACTCACTTGTTAAGAGTAGCGCTGGTCCTCAGAGGAAGCTGTCGCGGGGCAGGACCGCCTCACAGGGCTTCTGCGCGACACCACATCTCCTCCTAATAAACTGAGCTCTGGTACATTTGCAGCCTCCTTCTTTACGTCTACGCTTAGCAGCCGGAGCGATCAAACACACACACACACACACACGCACACGCACGCAGAGCAGCGACACGACCTGACCGAGCCACTGAATAAACCACTGCAGTTCTGAGCCGACGCCAGAAACACTGAGACAGACAGAGAGAGAGAGAGAGAGAGAGAGAGAGAGAGAGAGAGAGAGAGAGAGAGAGAGAAAGGGGGAGGGAGTAAGACTGGGGAGGCGTGTAATACTGAGAGATTAAGGAAGGAAGAGAGAGAGAGAGAGAGAGAGAGAGAGAGAGAGAGAGAGAGCATTTCTAGGTGAGATAGAAAGAAACCTCACACGGGTTGAACAGTGACAGGGGTCAGTGACTCAACAGCTACTTGAATTAACACACACAGACGTTGATTGTGCGGTAACGTGTGTGTGAGAGAGATGTATGGTTCGTATAGTCTGATATTTGAGTGCGTCTGCTCTGCAGTCGGATGAATTCGTTTTACAGGCTTTACGGGCTTACAGCTAATCCACAAACACACACACATGCATCAGAGCCATGTTTTCTGAGAAAAGCAGGCTGTGCCTCTTCAAATATATCTATTTTGTATTGTGTGATCAAATATTTGACATTACAAACCAGACATTACAGAACATCAGATTAACTGTGCCGTTTCTCCAGATCTGTGGCTCTATAGAGCAAAAGTTACGAAAACTTCTATAGTTTCATCTTTGTCCAATAGCAAAAGAAAAAAATAACGATAGCATTACTATGACTTTACAAAAGAGAAAAACACAGAGATTAATTACGTTGGTCAGAAAAGAGGAAGAGGTCAAATTTGCATTTGCATTTGCAACTCTTTTGGCCTTTATATTAGAAACACTCACACGGTTGGATAAAGGATTGGGTCATCAGCCTACTCTGCTCTGATTGGTCAGATGACCCAGTCTGTTGTGATTGGCCTACTCTGCTCTGATTGGTCAGATGGCCCAGTCTGTTGTGATTGGTCTACTCTGCTCTGATTGGTCAGATGACCCAGTCTGTTGTGATTGGTCTGCTCTGCTCTGATTGGTCAGATGGCCCAGTCTGTTGTGATTGGTCTACTCTGCTCTGATTGGTCAGATGACCCAGTCTGTTGTGATTGGTCTACTCTGCTCTGATTGGTCAGATGGCCCAGTCTGTTGTGATTGGTCTACTCTGCTCTGATTGGTCAGATGACCCAGTCTGTTGTGATTGGTCTACTCTGCTCTGATTGGTCAGATGACCCAGTCTGTTGTGATTGGTCTACTCTGCTCTGATTGGTCAGATGGCCCAGTCTGTTGTGATTGGTCTGCTCTGCTCTGATTGGTCAGATGGCCCAGTCTGTTGTGATTGGTCTACTCTGCTCTGATTGGTCAGATGACCCAGTCTGTTGTGATTGGTCTACTCTGCTCTGATTGGTCAGATGACCCAGTCTGTTGTGATTGGCCTACTCTGCTCTGATTGGTCAGATGGCCCAGTCTGTTGTGATTGGTCTACTCTGCTCTGATTGGTCAGATGACCCAGTCTGTTGTGATTGGTCTGCTCTGCTCTGATTGGTCAGATGGCCCAGTCTGTTGTGATTGGTCTACTCTGCTCTGATTGGTCAGATGACCCAGTCTGTTGTGATTGGTCTACTCTGCTCTGATTGGTCAGATGGCCCAGTCTGTTGTGATTGGTCTACTCTGCTCTGATTGGTCAGATGACCCAGTCTGTTGTGATTGGTCTACTCTGCTCTGATTGGTCAGATGACCCAGTCTGTTGTGATTGGTCTACTCTGCTCTGATTGGTCAGATGGCCCAGTCTGTTGTGATTGGTCTGCTCTGCTCTGATTGGTCAGATGGCCCAGTCTGTTGTGATTGGTCTACTCTGCTCTGATTGGTCAGATGACCCAGTCTGTTGTGGTTGGTCTACTCTACTCAGATTGGTCAGATGGCCCAAGTCTGTTGTGATTGGTCTACTCTGCTCTGATTGGTCAGATGACCCAGTCTGTTGTGATTGGTCTACTCTGCTCTGATTGGTCAGACATTTGGTTGTCAATTAAGACTAATGAATAAATATTAATGTTACTGAGGCAAATTTAGTGGGGAAAAAAACAGTGTAGGGTCACATGGGAGAGCGCTGTGATTGGCTGCTGATTACCCTGTCAATACCATTATTCAGCCCGCAAATCGGTAATAATAGGTCAAACGAGTGAAAATGGATGGACAAATTACAGAGTAAACAACTTAACCACTCAGGCATCACCTCGGTTGAATCGTGATGACCTTGAAATGATGATCAGCTCATTTATTTGAGCTCAATCTGCACCTCCTTTTAATGGTTGCTTAAGTGTTTACAGATAATTTGATGACTACACTCTAAAAAATGCTGGGTTATTTAATCAACCCAACCGCTGGGTTATGAAATGTTTGACCCATTATGGGTTATGTATATGGATTTTGACTCAACACATGAGTTGGAAAAAATAACCCATCTACCCAACATACACCGTTGACCCAGCACGTGGGTTGTTTGTGCTTCGAACGTCATCACATCATCACAAGAAGAGTCCACCATACCCGGATCCACCACACACCGAGCGATCTTCAAAGAGAACTTCACTTTTCATCGAGCGAGGGAAATAAACTAAGGTAGAGTACTCTACATGTCATTTCTAATATATAAGACATATATTTTAACAACTAAGTTATAAGCTGGGTTGGTCGGAAGAGGGTGAGGCAAAGATGACACGTATTGATGCAATGGCCGTGAAGTGTTTATTTATAGAAATTGCGGTAAACGGTCTAACTTAGTGTCCGGAATACAGTGAGTCTACTTTAACGTTACCTTTCTAAAGTAATATCTTTATATTGTCGAGGCTATTTGTCTGGCTTGTTTGGCTAGCGTTAGCCATTGAGCCGTTATCATTGAAGCACTAGCAAGCTTCTAGCTATTTTGAGCGCGCTATTTTTTCCCTGGAGCATTTAATGTGAACACAGTGTTAGACTGATTAAAGTATGTATAAACAGTGAGATAACCTGATATGCCAGACTAAATGCATGTATGTGCATTTATTTAAGTAATATGGTGACCCGCGATAGATAAGAAAACATTTCTTATATAAAATGGCGGCCTGGCTAGCAGGCTAACTTACATTATTTTAAGTTAACTGGATATAAATGAGCGCGCTTTTTTGCCCTCAAAGCTTTTAATGTGAAATGCGAAGGTATAACACAGTGTTAGACTTATTAAAGTATGTAAAAACATTGAAGTAACATAAAATGTCTGAATGTAAAATACATGTAATTTGAATTGTATAGGGAGAGAGGGTCTCTCTATATTTTGGCTGTTATCTTCACATTGGATTACATTCTGCTGCTAGTCTGCATTGCATTTGCATGGTGACATCTTCTGAATAGTTAATACAATAGTAATTGTATATTACTTTAACCTCATTTTGTGTTTGTTTCAGATCAGGTCAGCTTTGTCATTGACACAACAGAGTGGCAGCTGACAGACCTTGTTGAAAGATTTCAAGGTAAGAAATATTTGTTTTCACATCCACAGCATATCAAGTCTGCATTGCTACTCAAGCCCTTTTCAGACATTAATTCTTATGAAATATAAATTTCTTTGTGTTTTGTATTTTTTTGTCTTTTAGAGGAGGGGACTGATGAGGAGAGTTTTCTTCTTTTAGATGAGGCTACCATCAACAGTTGATCCCAAGAGCTGGCCCTGGGCTGAAGTTCTTCAAAAAATTAGAGGACTTGTAAGATCAACATTAGAGGCACACACAGTTATTATTTCTAAATATTAAAAGGGATAGTTTACTTTGAAATACATTTTCGATATGTTTTAGCTTACCTCAAGGGCATCCAAGATGTAGGTGTCTTTGTTTCCAAAGTATTTTCAATTTTGTTTTGTTTTTTCGGTTAAACCGTTGGCGTTGTTGTCTATCAGTCATACACTGGAGGTTTAGGGGGTCCTCCCTCGGTTCACCTCAAAGAGCATGCACAGAGAAGTCAAAATTAAACATGATTTAATGACTCGTAAATGTAAGTACACATTGATGGCCTAAGACAATAAACGAGCGGTTTGTGTGAGAAAACGAACAGTATTTATATAGTTTTTTACCTCGTGTAACTCAGCCATTGGCAACTGATCTGACGGCAGAGGCGTTTCAGTCTGTGCATGCGTCGGAAGTGACGTCACTCATTGTTTACACAGAGTTTCGGAAGTTTTACCTTTCACTGTGAAGATCTAAACATATTTATATATACAGGAAATCGCAATGGAAGATTTCGATATATCTAAATGTTTAGTGAAAGGTTAAACTCCCGAAATCTCTGTGTAAACAATGAGTGACGTACACACGCAAGCGATCACTTCTGGCGCATGCACAGACTGAAGCGCCCCTGCCGTCAGATCAGTTGCCAATGGCTGAGTTACACGAGGTAAAAACGATATAAATACTGTTCGTTTTCTCACACAAACCGCTCGTTTCGTGTCTTAGGCCTTCACTGCGTACTTACATTTACGAGTCATTCAATCATGTTTAATTTGGACTTCTCTGTGCATGCTCTTTGACATGAACTGAGGGAGGACCCCCTAAACCTCCATTATATGACTGATTGACAACAATGGTTTGCCCGAAAAATATCAAAATTGAAAATACTGTGGAAACAAAGACACCTACATCTTGGATGCCCTTGAGGGAAGATAAAACATATCAAAAATTAAATTCAAAGTGAACTATCCCTTTAATAGTTTCTTTGGGAAGATACCAGAATACTAGCTAATGGCTCCCGTTGACTGTTGGCCTGTTAAATGTTCAGCCAGTTCATTCATAATTGAATGTTTTCCTACTTCAGTGATATTAACTGCAGTTCCACTAATATTGTTGATATTAAAGTAATAAAATAATTTTTCAAAGACTCCATTGTTGTTTTGTTTTTGTATTGTTTAAGTGTTTATTGCATAATCTACGCATACATCTAGCATGTATTCTGTTCTAGATTTGTAGTGTAACTGTTTTATAGTTATGAGTAGTCAATTGCCTTTCATTTTCTTAAATTGTACTGTAATGTGCTAGAATTAGTCTGGCATATGGGTTAATTTGACCCAGCATT